GTTGTTTAGTTTTGATGCATATTTTGATGTTAATTGGAAAAAAATAAATATGGTTCATAATTTCTACTGAGCAGATAGTGAAATTAACATAAGTTAATACCAATGATTGTATATGATGTATCTATTCAATATGCAATAATTTTGACATAAACTAGTTAAAAATATTGTAAGTACTACTAATAGTAGTATTAATAAATCAAAGAATGTGGTACAAGAACTGGCTATCTCTATATTTTTAAGTTGTTCTGCAGACATAAAATAATACCTAGTTATTGCAACAAATTCTGTCTACCATACATCTCTATCTATATGATATAAACTTACCCAACAAATGGAGATACTCGTTTATTGTAATAAAATTTTACAAAATTATTATTTATCAGTAAATGTAAAACATACTTTTTGAAAAAATTAAAAATAATATAGCTTGGTTTTGCTGAAAAATTTGCATTCATAAAATATTGTTAAAAGTCTAGAAAATAGGGATTCAATAACTTATTACTGCATTCAAATTTAACAAAATCATTAGACATGCCATTAATCATGATTTATAAGATTAATTTAATTTTCCAAATTTTTAAATGACTTATATTTTTAGTTAAAAAATAAATAGTTATTAAAATATTTAAATTTTATTAGGTATTTTTTGTATACAATATACTAAAAAAAGAAATTCATAATAAGGTACTTTAATTTTTAGTTGAAATTGTAATTATAGTTTAATTTCTTACTGACATATTAATAGTATTTTATAAATATATCAAAGTATTATCTTAAATTCAAATATATCAAATATTGTAAATTTTAGATGTTTAAAATGCATTGTCACGAGTAAATCATGTTTAAAATTTAAATGAAAAAAACAAATAAAGGTATTTAATTCAAATAAAATTGTTTACGCGCCAAACATCCGTTTTTTAATGTTCGGGGTTATCCAATATTGTTTGTAACAAAGTTCATGTAAATCTTGTACTTGAAAAATATAACGAAAAACGTGTACGGTTTTTCATCAGTTTTATTATTTAAAAATAATGACGGATTTTACAATTTATAACAGAAGCCGGCGGATCGATCGCAATTAACTTTAATAGCCCATTAAATCATGTTTACAAATTATTGTTTAGGTATGGCGGTGCCAAAAATATTGTCGGCTCTATAATAAAGCATTCTATAATATTATATTATGTGAGGCTTGCAGCCGGGTATAGGTACCTAACCTCATCCTATATATGTAGGTCGTAGATACCCTTCAGTCCGGTCAAACGCCCGCGGGGGCGGCGGATCGGGTAAAAATCTAAAAAAATAAGACCGAGTCCTCGTCGCCGTAATGTGAGGAGATATATTAATATGATATGAGATCGAAAAATCTTCGTTTTCATTCACATCGCGCAATAACAATGTAGATTGGTACCTGTGTACCTTCGGAATAGCTTCCCAGTTCCCACAAGCACCGCGGCGCCGCCGTCGGGTATACTGATTTATTAGGAGGAAATCTCGGTCGGTAGCTGTGGTGCAGTGTGGTCGTATCCACCCATCCGTGTTACGTTGACGTGTAATTCCAGAGGACGAAAAAAATCCAATCAACGGCCGTTCCCGGTGGGCTTTGTAATTTAAAAATTTTCCCCACGTAATAATTCACTATTTGGTTTAACGGGATTTTAATTCAGGGCTCGATTTCTTGTAGGTACACATCACTATACGTTTTAATTTACCTACTTTTTTACTTTTATACAATTCTTCAACGTTATATATGCTGAGAGATATTATTCATGTATTAATATATAGTTACATACTAACTTCCTACTTTATATGCGTTCAAGTTTACAATACATAATGTATATTAAAATAATCAATGTTAGTATTTTTAATTTTTTTTTTTTTTATGATCACTAGGACACATTTTTCTTGTGCAGAATATTATTTAGGCATAAAGGATTTTAAAAATATATTTTAACATTTCTACTTAATTTTAAGTATATTATTTTTAATATTTTAAAGAAGTAACTCTTGTTGTTTTTTGTCATAAATATCTGTTGGGTTAGTTATTGATAGTAAATTAACAATATTCCATAACAACTGAAGTACAGGTTTATTTGGTATACCTATTTAGTTTACCTACATTTTTTGTACTTGTTATGGAAAAAAAATTTAGAATTTTTTCTTAATCATTTTATAAGTTCAATTTATTTTTTAGGTTTTTTAGATTATTAAAATTCTAGCCTTAATTATGTTTTATTGTATGTCATATTTTTTTCCAGCAAAGTCCCAGCATTTTTGAATATTGTAGACATAGCTGGGCTAGTCAAAGGAGCTGCAGAAGGCCAAGGTCTAGGGAATGCCTTTTTGTCCCACATTAAAGCGTGTGATGCTTTGTTCCATTTGTGCCGTAAGTTTAATTTAATTAATAAATAGTGTAAAATTTTCTACAAGGATCTAAACTAAGATAATTTTGAAAAGTGTTGATCATTTATATGATTAAATTAAGAATTAAAAAACCTGTGCAATGGTAGGAAGTTGTACAACATGGAAAATAGTCTATTGGAATTGTGATGGCTCTAAATTAGCAAAAACCATCTTTTCATTTTAAAATCAAAGATTTTACATCCATTTATTGATTAGGCAGTAACTAAAAATTGTTACTATGTATTTTTTGTTGACTGGTCTTTAATTTTTAAATCATTAAACCTTAAACTTACATTTTGTATATATTATGTGGAAGGAAACCATTTAACATTACGTATTAATTAAATTGAATTTCCTACTCAGACTAAATTATACATAGATACTAAGAATGAATAACTTGCTAATGAAGTATATTATACTTTTTTGTTTCTATTTCATGATATAATTTTAATGTTTAATAGTTTACTAAATATTATTATAATTTGAATGCTGTAAGTAGTTTAGACTTAAGAGTAAAAATAAATTTATTTTAAAATTTGTATACCATGTTTGAATTATGTTGATATTTCACTATGACTTACTGGAGTTTTAAATATTTTTGCATGAACAAAATGTAAAATATTATTTTATTTAATATATTTTTTATTTATTATTGTTATACAATATACATACAATAATTTATGATTTTTTAATTTATCCAAAATTAATAAATAAAATATAATTTTGCAATGTTAACTATAATTTTTCTTATTTTTATTTTTAATTGTATGAAAATATTTTAACAAAATGTATTTCTTCATTTATACATTTTAACAATTGAAAAGTCTTGAAGTTGCAATTCATTATTATTTTTTACACTGAAAAATAGTAATAGTTATAAACATTTTTTTCATAATATCTAATAAATAATAATGTAATATGTTGTATTATTATATCTAGGTGCATTTGAAGCCGAGGATGTAATCCATGTTGAAGGAGAAGTTAATCCTATTAAAGATATGGAAGTTATTAATGAAGAGTTACGTTTAAAAGATGAGGAATATTTTAATGCCAACTTGGAAAAACTTGAAAAATTAGCTATACGCGGTGGAGATAAAAAACTTAAGCCAGAATATGTATGTTTTTTTGTCGCTATTCAATCATAGCTATAAATCATATTAACACTTCAATTGTGTTTGCAGGATACTTTTCTAAAAATCAAAACTATTTTAGTAGATGAAAAGAAACATATCAGATTTGGTGATTGGAGTGCTCTTGATGTAAAAACTAATAAACCAGAATTTGGTTACTTAAAATACTGATGAATTTTATTATTTTCAGATAGACTTTCTCAATAAACACATGTTCATTACAACAAAACCAGTCATTTATTTGGTAAATCTATCGGAAAAAGACTATATTCGAAAAAAAAATAAGTGGTTGATAAAAATTAAAGAATGGGTTGATAAAAATGATCCTGGTGCAATTATTATACCATTTAGTGGAGTTTTTGAAAACAAAATTATTGAAATGGAAGAACCAGAACGTAAAAAATACCTGGAAGAAGTTCAGGCTACCAGGTTAGTCATTAAAACAACACGTTAAACATTAATCAATATTTTATTAAAAAAAATTTAAAGTGTGAAATCAAACTAAAGCATAATAAGTTTGAAATGTTCAAATATGGAAGCATTTTTTTTGTCAAGTACACTGTATGTGCATACACTATTCATTTTTGTAAATTTATGATAGTTAAATTTTGAATATTTTCAAGTTTGAGTTCATGAAAATTAAGTTTAATCTATCCTTAGCAAACATTAATAATTTTACTAATTTTTTATATTATTTTTGTTTATGTTTATTAGTGCTTTAGATAAAATCATTGTCCAAGGTTACAAAGCATTGCAGTTACAGTACTTTTTTACTGCTGGGCATGACGAAGTCAAGGCTTGGACTATTCAAGTAAATTTAAAATAGATAATTGTTCATAGAATTTAAATTTAATTTATAATTTTAAATTATAGAAAGGTTTTAAAGCACCCCAGGCAGCAGGAAGAATTCATACAGATTTTGAGAAAGGATTCATTATGGCCGAAGTAATGAAGTTTGAAGATTTCAAAAATGAAGGATCTGAAGCTGCTTGCAAAGTAATTAATAAAATTTTTAATTCAAAGTACTTAAATTTAAGTACAATATTATATTATAAATTTCAGGCTGCAGGAAAATATAGACAACAAGGACGAAATTACGTTGTTGAAGATGGAGATATTATATTTTTCAAATTTAATGCTGGAGCTGGTTTGAAAGATGCCAAAAAGAAATAAAAACATTTTTTTTTAACATTTAAATTATTAAACAATATAAATTTCTTGAGATAATTTGTTCAATATTTTTTATAATACTTAATAATAAATTTGTTCTTGTCTGTGTCAAAATAATTTTTCTATTGTCATATAATAAATAACAAGGAACTTGATTAAAGATTTTTAATAACACTTCAAATATAAAATTAAATTGGTATATTAAAACAAATATATAACATAATGTGTGATGGTGTATTAAATTAAAAAATTCTAAATGTTACACCATGTATTCCTAAAAATTAATGTGTTTATTAATAATAATAATAAAATAATAACACGACTATTTAAAAAAAAGGACTAAAAAAACATTAATTTAAATTATTTTTCTTACTTAATTTTTCAGTCACTTTTTTTGGGGTCAGCTCCAAGTCGATTGCCAGACATTTTTCTAGTATATGTCTATAAATAATTATTTTATTTTATCACACATGAATTAAAATGGTCTAATATATTTTAATAATACCTTAATAATTCGTCTTATTTTTACTTCTTTTAGTTTTTCTGGAATGACCATTGAAGTAGTAACCGTATTTCCCAAGAACAATATAAAAAAACATCCTGACAAAACAGGAACCTAAAATACATGTTATATAATTATTTATTTGGTTAGGCTTAATATTAAGTAGAAACAGTAAATTATCTTTATCATATAACATTGTTAAGATTAAATAATATGTACATTAAATACTGGACCTAGTGTACTGTCTTTATTTAAGTTATTAAACAAATGACTTAATTCATAATCTGAACTCTGAAATTATATCACTAAAAAAAGATATTTATTAAAACTTGTATACAATTATTAAAATATGTACTATTAGTTTAAACAATTAAGAAATTTGCAAAACAAAGTATTTTTTCAATAGAAATTAAGTTTTTACTTATTTTAAATACTTCAAACCCTTATGTTTAGAATCTAGATAATTTAACCAAATGTTCAATAACTTTTTAATGATTCAAACTCAAATTTTAGACATGCTTAATGCATAAGCAAGTATAAAAAGAATCAACAAAATAGGATTTATTCTGTTTTAAAAATATATATCTTTTAATTTTATAATTATACTAAAAACTGTAATATGCAAATGTTTCATACATAACTGACATCAGGGATGTGTAAAACAAAAAATTATTTGTATCTTACTTCTGTATGTTCTAAGATTTGCAAGGAAATATTTAAAACTTTTGAACTCTGATCATAAATGATAATTAAAAAGTGCAATAGATCCAAAACTTGTTAATATAATAAAGTGAAAACAGCAAACATGTAACATAACCTATAAAATACCTAAAATTTACACCTAATAAACTAATCAGAAATAAAATTTATGCTGAATGTTTAATTATCATTTTTGTATAGTTAAATAAATATTTGTTTTTGGAAGGTATTTTTATGATTAGCTCTTATATTTATGTATTTGTTTTTGGCCAAATCGTATACTACAACACCTAATAAAACAATAAATATCAATATTATGAAATACCTTACATTTTAAGAAATCTATAGTATTTTATTTTTATGTATATAAATTAGGTGGGAGTTATGAAGAAATTCTTGTAGGTAATCTATAAGTATATTATCTAAACTGATTTATATAAAATGTTATTTCATTGTATTTACTGACCTGCCAAGTGGCATGTGGATGATAACACAACTTATATAATGTATATGCGTTGTACAGTTGAAAAATGTATCCTAGATATAAGAATGGCAGTAAAAAACTAAGACCACGCCACATCCAAGAATGAAAGCCTTCAATGGTAATATCCATGTTATGACGTTCGCCTAGTGCTTTTAGTCTATACAGAACTCCTTGCTGGTATACAAATTGGAATGATTGAACTACACCTGAAAGTACATAAAAATTATAAATTATTAAGAATTAAATTAGAACATAATACTTACTAATAAGTACATTAAAAATCATGAATTGTGGTCTGAATATGTACCACGTTTCAGAATTTGGCCAAACAAGTAATACGGCTGAAGCCACAGTAGATATAAAATGATGAATCCGCCACCATCCTTTGATTTTTGACCCATTTACTTTCAATATACTTTCACGTATTGTCAATGTACAATAATACCACACCAAGAGAAACAAAAAGGTTAATTCGAGTGCACGCTTCTTGGTCACCAAATTCAATAGAGATAAAAAAAAACCAATAATGCTAAGAACCAATTTGAATTTTTCATATTCATCTTTATAACGAAACCTGTAGTACATTTTATCTGTCAAATTATGATAGATAATTTTAAATAAAATATTCATACTTGTCTTCTTTATTCAAAATTGACACATTTACATTTCCCAGAATAATTTTCAAATATGATCCGTTAGGCTTGGGTAGAGATTGTTCAATATCTGACAGTTGTTGGCGACGGTGGTTAATATCTTTCCAAAGTCGTTGTATGATATCTTGACGTTCATCTTTTTCAAAACTAAACAAAGATAATCATGAATAAATTTGACTAATATTGTCAAATTAAATAAAATAACATTTAATTACAATTACTTTTTTAGGGATTTGGCAATAAAATTTAATCGATATTTTTGGTGACTGACTTGTTTCATACACTGACCTTGAAGATCACTAACTTCTTCTACCTTGGCTAAATATTCTTTATTGACATTCTAAAAATAAAAATATACAATTATTATATAATATTTAATGATACGTCTTATTGGTACTCCAGCTTATTATTTACTAAATTATATTAGTCATAAGAAACCTATACTAAAATCATTATTTTTCTAAAAATAATGATGACCAAATATATTATAATGTATTACAATTTAGAAGGAATTGATGTTTTAAAATCTAATTTCATTGTAAAATTTACAATTATTACTGGTTGTGCAATGTGCATTAAAACTTATTAGATGACATTAAATAAAAAAATGTACTTAATAAATGGAAAAAAATTACAAAATAAAAATTGTTTTAAAGTGATTTGATTAATCCAGAGGTCGTGAATATATATAATAATAAGAGCTATATAGTTTTTAACATTATTTTTGATACACATTCTAATTTAATCATTTGACCTAGAATAAATGAATATGTATTTAAAGTTAAATTAGGATTTACCTATAAATATTAAACAGTTCTAAAAACATCAAAGTATGACCCATAATCAGTCTATTAAACTTTAATAGGCCACTAAATAAATCTTGTTTTTGTGCAACTCAGCAATAATATTAGGATATATATATTACAATATATTAACCTATTAACTACAATAAGTCAATAATTTAATTTTTTTTTTTTATTTGAAAAAAAAATGTTATTTGATCATATCTATAACATATTACAAAAATGAGTAGTAAGTTTAGAAGATGGTTGATTGACAGAATTTTAACCACAAATTTAGTCTTATAGCTTTGGGGAAAAAAAAAAATAAAAATCTAGTATTGACAGAAAAAAATAAAAGGTAGGTAGGAATGACAATAATATTGAAACCAACCCCTAAAATTGTATAAAGCACAAATTTTGGTAAAATATTTCAGTAATATTTAGTGTCATTGCTTTATTTATAGAAATAAAGTAAAAGGTTATAACATAAAATGAAATACATTAATAAATATTAATAATTTTTTTAGTAATTTAATAAACTAATTAATAATAATTTAATTTTGTTTTCAGTTATAAATTAATATATTTAATTTATATTATGCATTTTTGATTAAAGAAATCTACAAGCATTGGCACTTGTTTTTAGAGCATTGGCTTTTTGCTAGATTTTACCAATTCGGGACTCTATGTGTAGTACGAAAATTTGGATATTTTATGAGCTGATCGTGACTTACTTAATTTGATTAGGTATAATGACTATCGTCTCAAAGGATGACGAGTTCAAAATGGAAACAATAAAAATACTATGACATGACGTACCTCAAGAGTCTTGTAGTCACCGGCTATCGACTCCCAGTTTTCGACGCACTCGTCTAGGTTGGCGCACTCCATCGCAGTGCGTATTGTAATTTCGCCGTCGTCGCGAGTCGGGGCGGATCAAAGATTACGACGCAACAACAATCCAAGGTTAAAATGCGTCTATTGCTACACTCAACAGCGGCGGCGGAGTTCACGGCTCGATCGAGGAGGATGACGCTCGTTATTGATGCGATCGCATAGCGGTGGCATTTTTCAGTGGACCGACCGCGTCATCGTTTGGTCTCGGCCGTAGGTTTATCTCACGTAAACAGCGCACGTGCTCGACGGATGTGGCTGGTCACTGGACTTGTTCCGAGTAATAATAATGATGCGACGAGTTATCGTCGGACCAAAAATGACTAATGGTCGACCTAAGGAAAAGCAGGAACACGACGATGAAAACAGTGGAAATGTAACAGTGAATGTGGAATCGAGATTTGAGAGCGGAAAAATTAAAAAAAGCTCAAAGCTCTAATCTTATTTCTCGAACGTCGTCGTCGGTGGCTGATAACTGATAAGAATTGTAAATTGATAACGAACGAGCGCGCCTTTTAACCGCCATTCTGTCGTAGTAAAAGAGGTTTCAAATATCACTTACTACCACAGTTCAACATTGATATCCGCCTATCACAACTAAACAACAATGACGTCATAGTCGAGAACCTTCTAGAAAATAAATGGTTTCGCAACCTCGGCAACTTGCCACAACTGTTCAGCTGTTTATATTACACTACTATGGTTTAGCCCCACCAATATCAATAGTACCATTGACTTTTTATTATAGTTGATAGTCTACCTTTACATTTTTACATAACCACAATACTGACAAGTGAGATTTTGCCTTTCTTAAAACGAGTGAGTAATATTGTAATTTGTAATTGTATTGCACCTTTTCACGCTATCACGCTAATATATATTGTCTACAGATTTCTTCAATCAACTCATAAAGTCATTTTCGATTAGTGAAATTTGTTATATTCTTGAGTAAATTAAACGACGAAATGGCCAGACGTGGACGTTCTCCATCACCTGCACCCAGAAGGTAAGTCTTGCGCATACGCTACTCTTTATCGGACTTCCGCCGACAAGGTTACGCATATATTTTTACATATGTATTTTGGTATTTGATTTATTTTACGAGTCCGTAAAATTTTATGCAATTTAATTAGTTTCAAACTCAATTTTTCGATAAACGTGGTACTTTAAGCTATGACATTCCATAAGTACCGATTTGTGCTAGGATAGTTAAAAAAAATACTCTTTATAAAAATTAATGTAACTAACAATCATTTATAACCTACAAAAATAATGAAAATTGAATAATATACATATCTACATATAATCTAAATGAAAAATCTAATAATTGATGATGGCTTTTTGAATACCTATATAACTGCAGTATGACGTATCGCACTGTCCCTCAATGCCTATGTGGAAAAAAATAAAAATAGGTAAACTGATATCTTATCTACATTTTAATAAAGTATAGACCCTGAAATAATTTTTGTATTAGAAATTTAAAAGGTAGATTTATATGATATTCTTTTAAATTATTGTAATTATTGTGTACAGATTGTAAATTTTCTTTCGTAGTAAAAAAAAAAAATTCTTTTAAATTTGTTACAAATTCATAAATTCAATTATGTATCTGGAATGTCATGAAAATGTATTTCATTATCTGTGTTAATGCATGGACAAATAATTATACCTATTTATCTATAGCAATTAATAATTAAACAAATAATACTTCTTGTACCAATCATAATCATAAATGGTATCCTATTACCTTGTTATGCATTAAATTTGATATATTTTTTTTATAGTTTCCATTCTGATTTTGTTTATAAGAAATTGTAAATCAAATAAATAATTAGTTTTTTAGTGAATTTAAAATAAAAATTTTCATGAACTTTGTTTAGGATTTTTGTTAATGTCCCAATTAAAAGTTGGCAATATTTTATTTCCTTACTTCAATTTCTTATGGTCAACATAAGTATATTATAAGAATTTTCACAATATTGTGCAACTCAAATTAGGTCATTATTCATTCGTATGTTATATGAGTATTATATTTTCATTTAAATTTAATTATCTTTATTTAAACCTGATATACCTATTCATTACCATACTTGATAATTAATATGTTTCTGTTCTACATAGATAGGTATTTTAAATTTTGAATTAATGTTTTATTGAGTACTTAGACTTAAATCAATATTTTATTTATAGTTTATACATCTATTTAAAAATATTTTTTCTTAAATAATTACTTGAAATAAATCAATGTATTAAGATATTCTATCCTTATAATGTTATCTATGTTACTAATTTTAATCTAAAATTATCTTTATAATAAATTATATTCAGGGTGATAACTTTTTTGAGTAAAATTAAAAATATTCCCATATTATTCAAAAACATAAAAAAAATGATAAAAATATTTTCTTAAACATAAAACCAAATTATAGAAACGGTGAATATTCTTTGATATAAGAATTTCCAAATAAAAATATAATGAGTAATAATTATTTACTTTGGCATTTGTATCTATAGTTAACATGATTCAATAGATATTTGAAAATATGAACATGTCCTTCATAAGTATGGCTATACAAAAGTAAATTTTAATTTATTAGAAATTTTTATTACACATACACACTATGGTGAGAATCACAAAAAGATAAACACAACATAGTCAATATTTTAATGTGATGTAACATTCCTTGAAAGTTATTGTAAAATTTGAAGAATCATAACTAATTATTTAATCTAATCTGTGTTCATATTTTCAAACAAAATATATGATCTAGATTACCTATTGTTTTAGTAATTTAAAAATTATACGTTTCAATTTTGAAACAAATATTTTTTTATTTTTAAGGTCAACAATGTTAAAATATTTTAAATGAACATTAATATTTTAGGTCTGCAGTCCCAGCTAGAACACAGCAACATGCACCAGCACCACAACATCAACCCACACAAGTAGCACCAGCTCAACCACAACAACCTGGATTATTTGCCCAAATGGCTGCTACCGCTGGAGGTGTTGCTGTTGGTTCTGCTATTGTATGTACATTAATTATTATGATTATAGTTTTATAAATAATATTATTTTTAATGATAATATTTATATATTATTAGGGCCACACAGTTGGTCATGCAGTTACTGGAATGTTCGGTGGTGGTGGTTCCCGCGATGAAATCCAACCTCAAGTTCAACAAGCACCAGTAATGCCAATGGAGCAAACTAGTCAGCAAGGTGGTGCTTGTGCTTTTGAAATTAAGCAGTTTTTGCAGTGTGCACAAAACAATGATGATATTTCATTGTGCTCTGGATTTAATGAAGCTATTCGCCAATGCAAAGAAGCTAACCGTAATGTCAATTTGTAATAATTAACCATGAATTTGAATTAATTATTGTTTCTTTTCAGGTTTAATGTAATTAAGATAACCAATAAATGAACACTGAAATTAGTTGCAAAATTATTTTAAACAATGTATTTCTAATGTTAAAATATAGAATCAGTACTATGCAAGTTGTTTTTTACATTAGTTATTTTATATATAATATACAGATCAATAGAATGTTATTACTTAGGAATATTTAGTTTTTTATGCTTATTGTAAGTTATAGTAAAAAACTAAGAAAACAAACGTTAATTATAATAAACAATATTATAATTTAATACCTATTATTTTTTTTAATTTACTTGAAAAAATGTTCAAATAAATGGAGAATTATTAGTAGTTATAACATTCAAATATTTTTTTTAAGTGTTTACCATTGTCAGAGGTAAAAATAGGGAGTTGTTCTCCTAATAGTTGGTTTTGATTGAACTTTATCATAAAGTAAGGTCAATGTAATAAGTGTTAAATTTTTTAATTCAACTAAATCATATTAAGTATGTGGTGTATCATATTTATACCAATTATATTCAATAAAAATTGATTTAAAATAATAAATATTACTTAAATTCAGGAATTAGCACTGAACTTTTTATTATTTACATGAGAAACATTTAATTATTCAAAATTAAAACACAATATTCTTTATTTCTTAGTATTAACTAACTACAAGAATAGTTAGTAGGCTGTACTGGTAACAAAATTTGACCGTAAAAACATTCTTTTGTACTTTTTATTTTTCTCAGCTCTTGTTAGACATAGGAACATAATTTTTTCACCAAAATAAACTTGAGAAATTTCTCTAGACTTGATTTTTTTCAACCAATTATATTTAGATTTAAAATTTTCAAAAAATCATTTAAAATACACAAAAAAAAAGATATAAAAAAATTGGGACATAGTCGTCTAGAAAAACTTTTAAAGTTAATTTAGGTAAAAAATTATGTTTCTACGATTAACGAGAGCTGACAAAAATAGAAAGTACATTATCAATATCCTTCGTTAGTCGTTACTAATTTTTCTTTTTTCAAAAGTTCAATAAGTTGGCATTTAATTTTTAATTTTTCTAACAGTGTTTATACATATTTCATATTTCTATTCTGGAACTCCAACGATTTCCAAATAACAATCTAATACACTTTATTCTAATATATTTACTCTGTACTATATATTTGATACATATTTTTTTAATATCAAATTTTTCTCTTTTATTTGTTTATTTTCTGCTTTTAATTCATTGATTGACAAGACCAACTCTTTCAACTGCTGTCCGAAGTTTTCAAACTGAGTACCCATAAATTTAACTGAAGTAACTACATCCTTGAAAGTTTCATCAATAATATTAGTGCTACTTTCTAAAATTAGTGTATTTATTTTATTGGTTTTTACAGGCGTAACTGAATCTTTTTTTTTTTTAATTTACAGTTTATATAGTTCAAATTTTCTTTGGATGACGCGTTCATTTTTCTAAATTTTTTCTCTTTGAGACCAACACAAATAAAATGTAAGAAATCTTTACACTGTGTATATCGTAAATTGTCACTTTGAAAAATATTTTCATCACAAATTGAGCACAACACTTTAAACCGTTTCGCAGATACACTATTCTAACGTCCCCTCTTCACCGGCTGGTAGCGGAACTTACGTTCCCTATTGGTCAAGTTATGTTTTTAATAACGAGATCTTGGGGACTCAACCTCAGTGTGTAATATTAATATCAGAGATCAGAGTTACCTTATTTAAGTGGTGTCCCGTCAATAGATAGCGGACAATTGGTAGTGAAAAATTAAAAAATTATAATAATTAGGGCTCGAAACTTAATGCTTTAAATACGCTTAGGTATACACACATTTGTAATTGATTAATTTTATTTAAAATTTACGAATTTTTAAATTATATTATCATTTATCATCAAATATGTTCTAAAAAATTGTAAAATTAAAATATATGCACTTTAAACTTTAAGCTAAAAAAATTACTATGCAAAAAAAATGCACTACAAAATTTTAATATATTTTTCGTTGTGTCTTGAAATTGCAACAATGATGCAAATGCAACAACTTCTGATCCCTAATAATAATAGTTATATACTATATAGTAAGTACTATTTAGTAAACTTTGTGAATCTATAATAATTATTGGTCGGAACTAAATCGTTCTTGGGTTTTTATATATATACAACACTATAAATTGTCAGCTAGTAGATACAGATTACAGATAGTTGTTTTTCTTATCTTCCGATATGAAACAAATAATAAAAAAATTTAGTTCAGTCACGATATTTAAAAAAAATATGTTTAGATTTTGAAAATAGACCAATCGAAGACTATCTCTGAAGTATTGCGCATAGATAACTTTCAATTACAAGTTTAATGTTTTATTAATTATTATATATAATTAAGTTTTTTTAATAACTTGCATATTATAATCCAATATTTGACCAATAATTAGATTCTATGTATTATAAATATTAAAAATAATAATGACATAATTGGGTTTTTATTTGATTTTTTTTTATGACACTACCAATTGTTGTACTATCAACTGTCATATATCCATTTAAGTAAAGCGTTATAAGTATTAAATATAACGCATATTATGGTTAAATGGTTTAACAGATAATTTACAAATAGATAACATTTAAATAATATATATAGTACCTATATGGGGTTACCGATCCCGATAAATATTGACGTACCGTAAGTATGGATCTTTGATGGTGGCCGCACGGATCGTCGAGGAGTCTTCTTCACTGTCTATTTCCGCTCCGTGTCGCACACTCTCCCACTATACGTATTGGTAATTATACACCCCAGACATGTGCCTAAAAACCTTAGATCAGCAGTTGACCCCGCTTGACATTCCTCACACTCAGCATTTTAGCAGCGTGTGGTCTACCTAAGGAATAATTTACAATATTGATGGATGACAATCGTTACATTATTAAAGATAATAATTTACAATAAGCACAAGTGATAAAAAAATATAATACAATTTAGACAGGAAACTTGAGTAAAGAGACCATTCATTGATGAAACTTTATGTATTGACATATAGTATAAACTACCTATATGTAGTTAGCTAGATAGCAAAATAGTATGACTGAATGTCTGAATATGACTATCGTCTATCTCTAAATCCTAATATGTCATGTGGAATAAATTAACGAACGGGACGAAATAATTTTTTCATCATGCTGTTAAATAAATTAATGTTTACTGTTTATAATCTAACATTCCAATATTCAATTTTTTTAAATGTTTTTTTCATAGACCTATAAACTATAATGTAGGGGTTGATTTAAAAATTTGCCGTCTCTATATATGCCAGTGCAATTTTCCACAATATTAACTTTCAGTCTTTTATTTTGATTATTTTTTATATTAAGACCCGCTTAACTTTTTTCTGTTTGTATTTAATTTATTGTATGAAATAAAAATAAATATCAAATTATTCTATAATCTATTTTATCTTTGTATCAATATGTCCATTACTCACCAAAAATGTGTGATCATTACTGTTGTTACTCATCACTCTAAATAGTCTAAATGTAAACTTGTCGGTGAACAGGCAATTATCGAGTAGAGGTGGAAAAAATACATTAATGTTTTTGTCGAGTACATCGATGTTTAGTTTTTCGATTTATCAAATATAAACATCGAGGTCTTATTTCAATGTTTCATCGATGTCTGAAAATTTTTGTATTGGTATTTTTTTAAATTATATTTTGTATTACCGTATTAGGTATAATTATTATTACGACTTCAATAATAAGTCATTAGCCGGATAGAAACAATTGTTCATTTTATATTTCATGATATGATCTATACATTTATTATAATAATCATACAAATAGTGCCGGATTAAGTTAGGAGGACAAATTAAGCAACTACCACCCGGCTAAAATTTTTTAGGGGTAATAATTTCTTAACGATGAAAACAAAAGTTTAAAAGTTTTCTAATATATTCTCATTTTTAGGAAGAATTTTAGAAAAAAATATTAATCATTGAAAAATGTGTTTAATAAAATAATAATATATACCTATGTTAATTCTATAATATACTATTGTTGAGTAATGTTGCGCTCGGACCGAGGCATTTCTATTTTTGTTCATATTATCCTATTATTTTTAATTTTAATTTGTTTAAAATATGCTTACTCCAGTACACATACTGTGCACATAGTCGTATTCTTGTCAAGTCGTATATAGATTTAAAAACAAATGTGTAGTTGACCACGAGAATGAGATTTTTTAGAAGAAGATAATTATTTACGTATATAGTTTTCTTGAAGCATTAACAAAATCAAAGTTAAACGATTAATTTCCTAATATAAAAAAACCTGTAAAACTTTTTGTATTCATACCATGATCAAACGCTAGCGAGGAGAGAGCTTTCTCAGTTTTAAAGAGGCTGAGGAAAAAATATCATTGTTGGCTTTAATAATGTTTATTGAGAATAATTTCCTACAAAGTATAAATTAGAATAATAATATTAAAGAATTTGCTTCACAAAAAGCTAGAAAAAAGTAATAAATAGGTACCAACTCAATTTGTATCTAAATGCTAATACCTACTTAATACTAATAACTAATGATGTAATAATAAATTGAACATAATCAATTAAATATTATTTTGTATTAAACTCTATATTTAACTAAATAAATGTTAGATTTTTGCTTTAGATAATATTTCGAACTTGAATAGTAATTTTAAGAATGTAGGTACATGATAATGTTTTATCATAAATAGTGAATAAAAATGTGCGTTCAGTGGAAAAATCTTAACAAACACCCAAGACATATTTATGAATTCATTTAAACGCCAACAAACAATCAATGAATCATTTGTACTTATGCATTTTTTCAATATAGGTGGTCAAAAATCTGAGAAAATAATTTGTGGAATTTTTATTACGTGATAGTGTAAATGGTAAGTAAGATAATCAACCACTGACTACTGAACATTGTAAAAGATAAAGGCTTTATATATTTGATGAATATACTTGCACCAAAATTTAAAATAATTAGTCGGAGGGAAATCTCTCGAAAAATATTTTTATTGTATGATTCAATGAAAACCGTGTTTATTTACAGATAAAAAATGTTCGATATCTACTTTACTTTGATCACTGACGTGGTATAATATACAGACATGAAGTTATATTGGTATTGCAATCCATTTTATCGACAACTATACAATAAATTCTAGTCTGTTGGACGTTTTCGAACTGACTGAAAGGCATTCATCCGAATACATTGATTCGAAATTAGTAGAAGTATGCGCTGAATGGAGCATATTGAATTAAAGTAAAGTTGCTATTTCCACGAACAGAGTAGCAAATATAACAAAAACTATCGATTTAGAATTTGGTAAGAAACGTCAGAGCACATGTTTTGCTCATGCAATAAACCTTGTAATACAGCAAGCCATTTAAAATGTCTTCGAACTTATCGCTTTAATTTCGAATATTAAAAATATTCTCAAATGGCTTAACCGTTTATGCAAAATATTATCGCGAGTCATCACCATAGAATAGTAGCGAATCTGAAGCTTATTTAAGAAGGGGGTGAATTGGTGTAGGTATATCATGGATTTATATGTATACTAAAAATTACGTAACTGAAAAAAAAATGTTTGGGTTGGAAGGTCCAAATATGTTTTAATATAAATACTAGGTATACATTTATACATTTTTTTTATGTTCAAAACGTTTTTTTAATAATTTCAAAAACTGGATACGTACTCAATTCAATAGTCCTTTACACATCGACGTTTAGGGATTTACAAATTTGTTTTCAATAATCCGATTTTCAAAATGTTTATGTATACATCTATAAATGATTCGACTAAACTATTCTATTTAGTATTTTATTTATTTATTATTATATTTACGAGCAAGATAAAAAACTATAACAGTTTTCTATAACAATGATATTATATTGTTATTCAAATTTAATGATTTGTATATATTGATAATCAAAATTTATCAAATAATAAATATTGATAAGATAGTATTTAAAAAAATATTAAGTTCCTTTTTTTGTTTCATTTATTAAGCTTGAACTTTGAAGTTTTACTTAGGTATGTTAACATTGGTAGGTGTCATATATAATATTATTAATATCTATATTATAAACTATTATATTATTAGTCGATAAGGAAAGGGACCTGGCTATGATGTAATCTGTTATTGTTATTAGTTATTACTTACCTACTAATTATATTAAGTTAGTCTAGTCTCAACGGCCGTACTGTAATGTTGCGTACTTGTGTTATACTAAGTTTGCCATGTGCTTTAAATAAATGAACAGTATCTTAAGTTTTGTTAATACTTATGAATTATGAATTTCATATAACACTATTTTAAGTAACAAAAAAAAACCTAAGGGAGGCGATCGTCACATCACCTCCCCTCAAATCCACCACTGTCATACTAAGGCAATAAACGGTGAATGGAAACAACTACAAGAAGTGTCTACTCACTGGAGTAGTACAAGTACTTACTATATGTTAGAGCGGTTTGTTAGTTTGAAAGAAATTATAAATAACATTGTACTTAAATATAATAGAATTATGTTCCCGATATATTAAAACCATAAGAAGTTGCTACCAAGGAATTTTGTGCTCAAAAGTACCTACGTAAGAACATGTATGGTGATTCACTGATCCTGTATGCATATTGATACTGGATAAAAACATTAAAGGATTCAAACCAATACAAGAATTGCGACCACGATGGTAATTATTTTAGATCGACGTTTAAAAAAAAATGTATTCCTAGAATACAGTTGAATTATTCAAGATGCTTAAGTACAAATCTGATGATATCAACCAAAAACAGTCTTTGAGCTCTGGCGAATGTTTATTTGATATAGACACCACAAGTATGACAATTTTATTTATAACATTTTTCATGTACAAAATAAAACTGTGTATAAGTTATATTTACCATAAATGTATTTTAAAATGTTTTAGATTTTGAGAACCTCAGTTATTTAATTTATGGAAAAATCATGCGAAACATGTTCAATTAGATACCTACCAGCCGTAACCGTAATCCCATAGGGCATTGAAGGTTATAATCATTAATCAGGATAGGTATTTGATTTCCTTAAGAATAATTAACTCTACATCTGAAAAGCAGTCATGCCCGATTATCTGACGATCCTCTACAAATATGAAAGTAAAAATAAACAATTATGTCAAAAGTATAACCTATGTTATCAAAAATCGCCATTAAATATGTAATTCCTGTTGCAACGTTTGTTCTTAGTGAACGTTTATTTTCTAAAGCGGGATTGACTTTAAATTTTGAATAACCAAAGAAATCATTTAACTTCAAAATACATAATATAACTACTATTCTTATAACTTTTAGATGATACAATAAAACAGTATATCAATATATTATTATATTCTATACACTATACAGGACATGTTTTAAAAATTACAAAAATAATAATTATATATAGTGATATTTAATATAACTATAGGTAAGTACCTAATTTGTTATTTATTTAGCATTTATTATTTTTTCAAAGGTTAAAAACTCGATTCTCGGGCGTATAAAACAGGCGATTGCCTTTTATCGTCAGATGAATTTTAATTTTCAGATTGTTGATGTTATGAAAACATTTCATGTTATTAAAATAAAAAAAAATTAAAAGTTTAAAACATCGAAAAATGTCGAAAGAACATCGATGTTTTTTCTCGAAAATCCGATATATTGACATTATCGATGTTTAAAAAATTTTGTCCACCTTCAAATTAATATCGACTATAATAATTCAATTATTATAAACAGATGAACCCGTACCGATAAAAATTCGATAAAGCAGATGTTTACATAATGCATACTACTGTGGTATAGTATCGTTTATTAGTACCTATCTTCTATTTTATATAAACAATTATAAATAACTAATAAGCAATAACAAAACACAATCGTCATCGTTACCGAAAAATAACTATAAAGTATAATTAAACATCTTTATTCTTAATTAGTCAATGGTTTCATAGAATTCTGTGCATAGACCTTAGACTATATGATTTTATGACTTCGTCTGTACATAGACATAAGACAACCTATTATTCAACATATATATTAATACATCATACGATAATATGTTGTCAACGGCGGCGCCCTTATCAGCTTAACACGCTAGGCAGTTATCACGAGATAAACTTGTTGAAAAAAAAAATTCAACATACCTATTTACTTACCTACGGTATTACAATAATAACATTATTGGTATTTGTCACATATTTTTTTAATAACGTTTACTCGAGCTCTTTCGTTCAACCGACGAGGCGACCATCCGTTTTAGACGCCTACGCACGATACGGTTTTCCAATTTACTGTGATTTCGTTCGCCTACGCCGATCTATCGGTGCGAATTCAGCATTATGTCCTCCGCCATCGGATGCGGGTCGCTGCCGCCGTAGTAACAACAATATTGCTTGACGAGTCGAGTCAGGTAAGCAGAATTATAATATGTTATGGTCGTGTTGCGATCGTGAATTAAGCTCTCGGTAGCCTCTCAGTACCGCTAACCATCTATGTATTGTTTTTTGGGGTGGAGGGGATGAAGTGGGTATCGTTTGTTTGCATATGGCACACGGACGGTTGAGTACAGTACCTATGTAGTCTGTTTTGTTTGAACAGATCGTCGTCAGTCATTTGATTTTCGGTTTTTTTTTCCCATATTTTTTCAGTCTACAGTTGCGGCAGTCGTCACAGTGAACGCTTTCAGTATTCGTGCACCACTCGGTGCACAATCAGCAATCGGCCAGGCCTGAACAAGGTACACACGTCATGGAAAACGACGTAAGAGAAGAACTACAGCCGACTGTTGACAATGACAACAATCGTGGTAATGTACAGTTTTTTACTGCCGCACTCATCTTTGTGTTCATTCTTCAAGTCTTTATATCCATACACATACATGATATGTATTATATATGTTTATTATTTTTTCATAATGCTAACTACACAATTCTTTCCATGTGTATTATATATTTTGGTTTGTTGCACACTGTGTGTTATTTTTACAATATTTTACAGACACATTTTTTGCACGATCAATCTAGCAATTCAGTGTATACACATTAGCTTAATTTTTCAAAAAATACAGATATTAAATTATAAAAGTTCATATTTACACTGAATTACTTGTATTCATTTTTATGAAGGTTTTATTGTTTTTAATCAAATTTTTTTTTACAAAATTAATGTTATTCATGCTTATGTTGGTGTTGCACGCTCTTTATATCGACAGGTCCGTTGACTCTGGACTTGCTTCTAAAACAAATAGACGAATTGCAATTGGAGAAAAAAGAGTTTGGCTTGCAACGCGCCAAAATGAAGGGGTTTATACTACAAAAAGAAGGTGACCAGTTATTGCTTTGATGCTTTATATTTGTATAATATGTTTAAAAGCTATTAATTTCTCCATTCATTTAATATGTTATTGTTTGTACGAAACATTTGTAATGAGTTTAATTATTAGAGGAGCTCAAGCATATGTCAAATATATCAGCCGAACTGAAGAGGTTACAAAATGAACTAGATGAGTCACAAAGTCAGCTTACTGTTACTAAACTTGAAATGGAAGGGCGTTTTGAAGAACAAACCCGTAAATATAATGAAGAGATTTCATCATTGCATAAAGTGGTTGCTGGTAATATTTTTAATGAAGTAATTTATTTTCACTATTTTAAAATTTTTTTTTTTTTAGAAACTTTAGAAGAATCTAGGCGACGTGAAAATGAAACTAAAATATTTAAAACCATGAATGAAAAATTGGAAAATGAATTAAAACATTGTCGCAATCAAATGTTGATTGGCCAGCAGGGAAGTAATATACTGGGTGAATCAACACAGCAACAAATTCGTAATGTACCTGGTACTGTTCTTTCTGCTATTGCTAGAAAAATGACAAATCTTGCTTCTAGCACTGAATCTGATGACTTCAGAAAAGTAAATTATAAATATTTTGTTTAAGTAAAATTATATAAATAAATCAGTATTTTTTTTTTTACTATATATTCTAGTCTCAGGATGATGAAGATAATGTGTATAAAGCTCTAGTAGATCCATTAAAAGAAGAAGTTGAAGCACTAAAAGAAAAAATTCGTGAAATGGATACAGATATTACTTACTATAAAACTAAACTGAATGAATCAAAGAATAATGTTGTAGAAAAGTTAATTACTAGTATGTATTTGTTAGTTAATAGCATATACTTAAACAATAATATGATACACTATGTACTAAAACTGAAAGAGTATCAAACAAACTGTTTTTATTGCTGTTCAAGATTGTTATTATTTGTCTTTATTTTGTTATTTTGTTCATATTAGAAATTAAGGGTAAAATAGTAAACTATTATAGAGGTATAATATTATGATAACAAAATCATATGCTTATTTTATATACTAGTGTTCTGTTTTATCATTTATAGTATTTAATAATTGTTTTATAAATTCAAAATTATTTGATACAATTTTTTTTAGATAATTCACAAGAAGAATCATCTAATTCCTCAGCAACTGGAGATTTTGTCTTTTTAAACACATCAAATGGTATATTTGTAATTTATTGTATTGCTATGAATAATATTTATAATATTTTATTCCTGTTGTAGATAATATTGTACAATGTGAAGAGTGTGCTTTATACAAAGTTCGTGTTGAAGAAATGCAAGATAAATTAAATGAAGCAGACAAACGTCTTTTATCCATGGATAAGCTTAAAGATGAACATGATAAAGAGACTATTTATCGCAAGGAGATGGAAGAAAAATGGAATGAAAAATTAGATGAACATAAAAACAAGGTACCTTTAAATATTTTAGATTTAGATTAGTTATAAATATATTAGATTACTGATTTTAATGGATCATGTAGGTACAAGAATTGAAAAGTTTTTCCGATCAATCACATGAAGTGCTTAGTGATCTTAAACTCCAATATGAACAGACAGTGATAGATTTTCAAAAAGAAATAAAACTCTGTACAGAAAATGGTGCTAAAATGAAGCAACGTATATTGAAGTATTATTTTATTGAAACAAATACAATATTTTCAAAATTAATTTTTATCAACTAATGATTTGTCTTTATAGATTGGAGGAAGAGAATCATAATTTCAAAGAGAAACACATTAAGTTTTCCGTACAGTTGCAAAATGAAGAAATTAATTTACCCAGCTCAGTAGCGGTTAGTGTTCTTTATAAAATAATAAGTAAAATTCATTTTCTTGAATATGATGGATTTATTTAGGAACTTCAAGAATATTTGTTAAAACGTAATGAAGAACTTATAGCTATGTCTATTGTAAAAGAATCTATAGAAGAAGAATTGAACAGAATAAAAAATAGTGCAGCTATTTCTGAAAGCCAAATACAAGGATTGAATTCAACAGTAACTTTACTGGAGTACGTATTTTTATTAATTAAAATTATTTTATGTATTATCTTTAATTATTCAATAATGTATATTATAATGATGTTTGTTAATTTAAATACAGTATTTTAATAGTAAGTTTTAATAGTAACTAGGGAATATCTTACTAGATGATCTTGAACTTTAAGGGAAGCTAAAATTGTTAACCAAAATATCAAAATATTCTAAATAATAATATTTATTTTTAATTTGCTCTTTAGTACCCATATGATCATATATATAATAATAATTAGTTTTTTTTTTAAATCCTAATTTTTTCTATAGATTTGAATTTTGTTTTTTACAAAATGTTAACCATATTAATTTTATAATTGAGAGATCATGAATATTGTTAAATTACTATTTGTACACAGAAAATATGTAAATAAATAAACACTTATTTTATCAAATAACACAATTCAAATATGCAAATTAGTGAAATTTGTGTTAATTATTATAATCCATGTTAAAATTATTTTATTTTATCTTATAAGTTATGAATAAGTAAAATTTTAAATTATTGTATATATATATATAAAAAAAAAAAAAAAAAATTAAAAATAGATTATTCACAAATTTTGACTTAATCCGAGTTAGTGAATTTTTTTTAAAAATAATTACAGCTTAAATTTATAGAATAAAATTGGCATATTGAAAATCAGTTAATAGTATAGCTGATGAGTGTACCATTAGAATTAGACATTTTTTAAGAAGTTTATATTGGTACACCTCCCAAAAGCTTTATTTCAATTCAAGATCATCTAGTTGAAATATTAATTGATACTTCTTAAACAATATTGTAATCATGCTGTTTATGTATCTTTATATTTAAAAATAATAGTAATTTGTTGAATAATTTTTTCAGAAAACAATTATTGGAAGAAAGAAGTCGTTTTTCTGAGGAAATAAAAAATACAAATCGATGTGAAAAAGAACTAATTAGCTGCCGCACACAATTGGATGTTGTTACTAA